GAAAATCTGCTGAAACCTAACTTAAACAATCGAATGATCTACGCTTGAAATCTCTGAAATCCTACCCAACCAGCAGCTAGAGCATGAAAAATAGCTAGAAAACCATACCTCCCTCGTTCGATTTGGTGGCCGGAGGCTTCTAAACGAGCTCCTGAAAGTTTACTAAAAAACTGTCCACCATTGTCTGTTTCGTGGCTGATTCCGGCGACCACACTAGCGGATCACGGCTGGGATGGGTTGAGACTGAAAAAGGGGAGTGAGGTGGTTCGTTTGGCACTGGTCTTGCTCAATTTGGTGGTCGGAGCTGAGAGAAATCCTCTCCTAAAGTCGGCTGCTCGAACTCCAGAGAGAGGAAAAATCTGGGGTTTTCTGGATTTTAAAAACTGAAGTTTGAAATATTTACGATTATGCCACTGAACTTCTTTTAATCGTAACTCCTTCGTTACAACTCCGATTTGAGTCCACTATGTGTCTACGGGCTCATCTTGCTGCGCTCTATGCAACGGTATATATGAAATCCCCAAAATTCCTTCTCGGTCAAAAAGTCAACTTATAAACTAATAAAATATTCTAGGGGTATAGTGGTCTTTTATTGGAATAAATTAATAATTAAATATTAATTAAGGACAGGGTGTTACACATCAAATACCCTTGCTTGCTGTGAATATGGCAAAGCAGCCCACCCATGGCACTCCTTGCATGGCCTCACTCAACAAGCCTCAAATTGCCTCGCTTGATTTGAATATGGCAAAGCACGCCATGTCATGGCACGCCAATTCTCACATAGCCTCCCTTGACAAGCCTCAAATATCCAAGCTTGCGTTGAATATGGCAAAACATGCCATGCATGGCAAGCCAGGCTTCACATACCCTCGCTCGACATGCCTCAAATAGCCTGGCTTGCCTTGAATATGGCAAAGCATGCCATGTCATGGCACACAATTTCCTCATCTCCACTTCTTCGTCGTTGGATTTGCAATACCGAGCTCTAACAGTCCATAATTGACCCAGAAGATGTGGGATTCCCATAACATGATGTGCGCTGCTGATCCCAGGCATGGTTGGTGCCTCACTGCCTCAGCCATGTTCAGATGCAAGATGAGCACTAAAGAGGTGGACAAACAAATGATCAATGTTTAGTACAAGAACTCTTCCTACTTTGTTGAGTGGATACCAAACAATGTGAAATCAAGCGTTTGTGACATTCCGCCAGAGGGCTATCCATGGCATCCACATTCATCGTTAATTTGACCTCCATCCAAGAAATGTTTAGGTGTGTGAGCGAATAATTTACTGCCATGTTCAGGAGGAAGGCCATCTTGCACTAATATACTAGCAAAGGAATGGACGATATCGAATTCACTGAAGTAGAGAGCAACATGAATGATCTCGTCTCTAAGTATCAGCAATACCAGGATGCGACCATCGACGAGAAAATTGAATACAAGGACGAGGAAGAAGTGCTAAAGGATATGTGAATGTAGAGGTAAAACCTATAGTACAGTGTGGATATGCGGATGAGAGATCTTTGTGTGTCACTTTGTGTATTAAGGGAAGATATTGAGTCTTAAAACCTCACTCGTCTTTGTCTAAGTTCAAGTTTAGATATTATTGGTGGGGGAAAAGTTGATGCCGCCGCGTAGATATTATTTAAAGGTTGAGTGATTGTTTGCATATAGTCATGTGACATTTCCATGCCTGTTTGTTCCGTTGTGGATCGGTCTATTGATTTGTGTTCAAGTTTTTGTCTATCTATCTAGTAAATCAATCTTCTTTGCTATTAATTATCTCAGTTGATCTTGCATGTTGTTTATACCAAAATGAACAGCCAATAAGCATCGGACACGTGGACCAAATTGTAGCTATGGAAGCCTTCGGCACCTAGCTACAGTTCTGTTCCTACTGATCGCATGATTAGGGCAACTCCACCCTCAGGGGCATGTGGCAGTCCCACAATTAGAGTCCATAGTCCCACATCGAAATTCTAAACAACTTGCACACCTCCCAAGGCCTATAAAAGGGGATAACTATCCCAACTAGAACTTACGGCATACTGCTTATTGATCTATAGTTCAATCTTAATCCATACTTACTTAAGCATCGGAGAGCCTTCGGCCGGTACCACACTGGTGCCCTAGGTCTTACCGAGCGTTTGTTATCTTGCAGATTGAACGCCCTACCGAGACACATAGCATACCGAAAACCCAAAATCACAAAGTTGCGCAAAAAAGTGCCGAATTATTTTTCTGCGTCAACACATGCGTACATTATTAATTGTTCTTGAGCACAACTATATTATTACGCATACGTTGTTAATTTGTTTTGGGCTAAAATTGGTCATGCTTGGTTAATTATATATGTTAACAGTTAGTTTAATTCATAATATAGCTACGTCAAAAGATATTTCAAATTTGAACTTCGGCTTCCAAAAAAATATAATAAAATTGATGCTATGGATATTGAAACGAAATGTGAAATTTTGGATCTCGTTTATTTATATGAAGTAAGTTTTATGCCATGTTGATAACTTAAATTGAAGAGTTTTTTTTTTAATTTTTTTTAATGAACTAAATATCTCTTCTAATAACCCCTAACATATCATCAATCAAGAAGAAGCTAATCCAGATAGGCGCAGAGGCGAAATAGCACACTCCCAAATCCATATTATTGCTCCAATTCGCAAGGCAATCGGCTACACAGTTTTTCTCCCGATAAATATGATGCAGCTCACAAGATGAACTTGACTCATTAGCTGCTGACAGCTAGAGATCAAACTAGCAGCGAGTGGAAAAGGATTATCTCATGCATATTGAACAATTGCACAGCAACAATCGAATCCCTGTCAATAATAAGATGAGAGAGACCTTGTCCACGAGAATTTATCAAAAATAGCCAAAATTTGATTCTTAATTTCAAAAATGTCAGTTTTTATAAAAAATTTCAAATACAGCAGAAAACTAATCTAAATAGACACAGATGCCATCAAATTTAAAACTCACATAAACCTGTAAAAAAAACCTTGCTAAATAAAACTTTGGAATATTTCCTTCAAACACTTTTCCAATCACCCTCTCTATTTCTTTTTCATTTATTTTTTCTTTCTTCTTCCGTTTGTCTCCAGCATCACTCCCTCTCTTTTTCTTTCTTCTTCTCTCCATCTCTCTTTCCCCTTTCTTCTTCTTCCTTCTTCCTTTCTTTTTTTTTTTTACAAAACTTAATGGATACCAAATAAAGCTTAGACACATCCAAGTTAGTCGAAGGTCCATATTGATGAACTAATAACATCAACATGTGATTACATCTTCTGCTACACATATGTCAGAATCATCATATTACCAGACTCAATAATTTTCCAAGCCTATCTGCACTAACCTTTGATGTAGGCTCAAAGTGAATTGACGATATTAAATCATAGCACTTTGGATAGCGCTCAAGAGTTAAGTCAGCAAAACCAGAATTGAAATTTTATAAATATAGATGAAGAATAAACAAAGAAACGAAGAAGAAATTGAACGAAGAACCAAGGAAGAACTGACTCACCGTTTGACTATGGCAGCAATACGTTGGCAAATGAACCCTACATACAAAGATTCCCAATCTAATAGGGTTTTCTTTTTTAGGTTTATGTGGGTTTTAAATTTGAGAGTATTTGTGTCTATTTAAGTGAGTTTTCTGCTATATTTGAAATTTTTCACAAAAACTGACATTTTTGAAATTATAAGTCAAGTTTTGGCTATTTTTGATAAATTCTCCTTGTCCACAGCAAGTTTCAGACTAAAGAACAAGCCCCAAATCTCCGCTTCCAATATTTGGCATATCCCCAGATTAACAGTAAAACCTCTAACCTAGTCCCCATTAGGATTACAAATTATACTCCCAGCACCAATATTCCCAGAAACTGACTTTCGAGATGCATCCACATTCAATTTAAAGGAACCCATTCCATACTCAATTTTACCATATCCTTGTTACTAAACTTTTTTTTATCACTATATACTAATTTTCTAAAATATTAGCACATCAGTCAAACCGAACCATAGACATCCAGCAGAAGAGGACGGAAGGCCCATGGGGAAGGAGACCAACATGAGAAGATGTGATCAGGTCGGATAGAACAGTAGTTGTGGAGGATGGCTTAGTAGTCGACACTTTGACGTGGTTGATGAGCATCGCCACTGAAGCTTGTAACTTGGCGATGTCGCTGTACATAGATGACAACGATGTCTGGAATTCATCGACTTTGTGAACTGATCTTCCAATCTGGTGACATCTGCAAAAAATTTCACCTCGAACTCCTAATATTGTCCAACCAAATTGGCGACGGTTATATTGGGAGCCATGACAAGCAGCACAGGCAAGTAAGCAGAGGAACTGCGGTGAAGCAAGAGGCTCTGAATACCAATTGATTTGTAACAACCCCTAGGGGTATGATTAAACACTCGAAACAATAAAAACGAGAAGAATATAGGGGGTCAAGGAGAAGAAAAGTTAGATCGAAGGGACGAAAGAAAGGAGAGAAATCAGAGAACCGAGAAGAAATGACAGAAATCAGAGAGCTTTAAGAGAGGGTTCAACATCCAAACCTGAAGTTTAAAGAACTACATGGGGTATTTATAGCAAACTAAGACATGGAGACAACATGATAAAAATCCCTAGCTAAAACAAAAATCCTAACCCAAATAAAATAGAAAACTTAGATATCCTACAAGAATTTGGAAAACTATAGAATTTAGGAAACTAACAAACAAATGAGGAAACTAATCAACTTAGATCCTATGCATCGCACATCAATGAATTGGACATGCGGGCTCCATTTACATCCAACGTCAGCAATTTAACAAAATTTCTAACGATAGGGATGATTTGGAATTGTAGAGGGTAACCTTAAAGACTATTAATGTCACAAAAAAAAATGCTTAAAGGATCATTTGTAACCTATAAAAAGCCTTTATCCTAAAGTAAAAGCCAAAAACAATTCTCACATTTTCATAACAAAACAGTTGCTCATAAGTACTGAATAAATTAGACTCTACTTCAGGGAGACAAAATATGTGTCAAGTAAACAACAATATCCGTAGAATTAACAACTGAGTAACGGAACGAGCAGGTAGCAGAGGTTAATTACACGGTGGAAGAGGTTCTTGAGTAATGCAGAAGTTTACATATACAAGAACAATAACATTTTGTACACCAAACGGAGAACGGCCACTACTTGAAGATTTTGTGTTGCGTAGCACCTTAACATTTGAAACCTCCGCAGGCAATTAGCCATAGTATGATGATCAGGATAAGGATTCCTCCTCCAATCATTAGTTTCATTTGGAGACTTTGCAGCCACATCTTACGTCGCAGTTGCCTTCCTTGCCTCTGGAAGCTGTCAGCCTGTATTCAATACGAATACCCCCAGAAGCGCATCAACTACAAACTCCTTATAAGTTCAAAATCAGTTTCAAATTATACAACCAGATAAGTGATGGCATGTACCTGGAACTGCAGGTTTTCTGTTTTGTCCACCAGAAGTTCAATTTTCTCCCCACGATCCAAAACCTGCCATCAAAAAAGAGATGGGGTTTACTGCATCCATTCCCAATGAACCTTCTCATGCCTTAGATGCTTTACAATCGGGAAACACAAATGGTAAAAGCACATCAACTTATTTTCTTTCGATGAAAGCACTAGTGGGCCAATTAGGATTTGGTAAATGAAATTATTGTATCAAAGTGAAATAATGCTTACATCCAACCACCAGAGAACAAATATTTTCTGTCGTTTTTCGCATCCCCTCCCACTCTGTTTTCAGCATTTGAGCACTTATAATATTCAGGCAGTAGAGTACATCCCAAACTAATATGATTACTATACTCACTCTCCTTACCACCCCTGAAAGCCCTTAATTCAAAATGAAGGGCAATAATTATCATATAAGACATCTTTCAACTTTTCAGGAAAGACATGGATGTACGCTGAGAAGCAATACAGGCCAGCATCTCATGATAATAAGTTTGCTCATCATCTTGTTTCTGGGATAACTAATTCCCCAACACCATCCAGACTCCCATGAGCCACATCGATCCATCTGGCCATAAAAATCTTTAGTATTGGTTCATATAGATGAATCCTAGCATATTAGACCATACAGTCCATATGAATAAGATTTGCTATACACACATTTTTCTCTATATTACCAAAGATTGTAAGTCTACAATGCTTATGGAAAAACCAACCCAGTTGATTGTTTTTCTTCACTCCCAATTGATGAAAACTAACTTTCGTAATCATGATACTTTCCAAATTGTTCCGAAGCTAATAAATGTCCAGGGTTTAGGGTTTAGGGTTTCGGGTTTAGGTTTAGGGTTTAAGCTAATAAAGGTCGAACTCAATTCATTAGGGTTTAGGGTCGAACTTAAATATTTGATGCATACGCAAACTTAATCAAATACAAAAGAAAGCTGTAAAAAGGTTAATAAACAAGGCACTGCTATTAAATTAGTCCACTTGCACCACATAAAGCATAAAGAAACTTCTGTCCAAGCACATAACTATATTTCCCCTACTCATCTCCAGCTCCACACAAAAAATCAATCACAGACGTGACCATAAATAAGATGATATCGAGCGATAGCAAACGTACAAGAAAACTACAGGTCACAAGGAGCTGCACATGAAAGAAGCAAGTTATCCACTAACTACCCATCCCTTTATACACACATAATACATCTCCAGAAATAACACCCAATTTACCTCAACATTCCAACACTGACAAGCAATAATTAATTCATACTCTATTTCAAAAGAGCCAAACCTTCAATGGGAAAGTATTGTCACCACTTTAAACTCAGAACAATGATCAATTAGGGCGTTTTTATCAAGTCTAATTTTATCACAAAAGGCACCTGTAACATATGCTAAGCACACACCATCCCTTTTGGACAACATGAGGTTGTCTTAATGATCACATGTGGACGACAGCACTTGTGACTGGTGAAAAAGAATGGAAGAGATCTGCTAAAAGTGATTGGGTTGGATACTCATGTTTTCTTTTAATTTCTTTCCAGGTTGAGTTTTCTGAGGATGTGCATTGAGACTGCTCTGCAATTTTATCATCTTCTAACAATTTTATGACAATACAGTAAAGAGGATCATATTAATTAACTATGACACCAACAAGTGACCATGGTCTCGGCTACAGTCATGCATTGGTTTATCTTTTCATTTTAACTATGACACCAACAAGTGACCATGGTATCGGCTACAATCACGCATTGGTTTATCTTTTCATTTTTTTTTTAAAAAAAAACACAACACTCACATACATTTAAATTGCGGTTAAAACTCTTTATGGATAATATAAACATAGAAAAAGTCATTCAATGTCAAAAAGAATATTTAACTCAGGTTTGGACACACTTTTAACCCTTCTGGGACATTCAAACTATAGCATAATTTAATATAAAAAATCTGCCAAAATTGTAAAACTAGAAACAGAATATGCGAGGACCTACAAAACATTATTAATCATAACCAGTAAACCAAAAGAGGACCATATGGAAATATGAGATAAGTCAGTATAAGTAACAAAACAAATACGCAGACCTGTTGAGGATGCAGAAAACGTTAAGAGCTACTGACTAGCATTCAAGATACAAAGGCAGATACAATAAATAAAATAAATAGGATGGTCTAAGAAGAAAAGGATAAATTTCTGTTTCACCACCTGAACTACTCACAACATTGAAAATTTCCCAGGATTTCTTCAGTAAATTAATGGAATGAACTATACCAAAATAGCCAATATGGGGCTGGCTGTCAATTGTTTTTGAATTCCATCTAATTGCTGCCAGCAATAAGGGAAACTTTTTTTTAAGTTTGAGCGGAAAAAAGAAAACCTATTAAAATACCAAAAAAATTTTGATTTTTAAGTTTTAAAAATACTGCACATATATTCCCCCCCCCTCTCCCCACAGCCCTCTCTCTCTCTTTCTCTCTATGAATGTCTCTCCCAAGCTTCTAGGATGATGGCCCCTAGTGGTCCATTTGGGTGGCAATGGTGATGGGTTTGGGCAAGGATAGTGGCTGGGGGATGGGGGCGGTCCCCTTCGGGGAAGGGGAGAGAGAGAGAGAGAGAGAGAGAGAGAGAGACAGAGACAGAGACAGAGACAGAGAGACAGAGAGACAGAGAGACAGAGAGACAGAGAGACAGAGAGACAGAGAGGGAGAGAGGACAGGTAGGTGATGGAGGGAGATCTGGGCCGGGGGTAATTGGGGTTGAATGTTGTGGCCTCAGGTGACATCGGAGCTGTCGTTGGGTGGGTGGGGTGATCAGCGAGGAGGCAGGGCCCATGAGGCGATGGATGGGGCAGGGCAGAATCAGTGGGGGCAGTTAGGGAGGAGGAGACCTTTTCTGTTTTTCTTTATTTAAATTTTCTGTTAGACATATAAGGGAAATATATGGGAGAAATTAGGGATGAAAGAATAATGGAGGGAAGGATGTGTACATGGAATGGTACTACAAACAAATTCAACCACAGTATCGTTCTTATGAAGACCCAGGATTTCTGTAAGAAACCCATAGTCTCAAGTGAGGAAGCAAGGAACAATGAATAAATGCATAAATTAACCATATCTTCAGAAGGTTCCATAGCCAAGATTATATTATCTTTTACCTTCTCAATATTGTCCATCATCACACCTTTGACCTCCGTGATTTGGGCCTTCAATTTGGAAAGCTTACTTATTTCTTCTGGATGCTCCATGCAATATTGCATGTGCTCCTTAAGCCTTGGCCTGTCAAAAAAAAAAACACACAAAATTTAGTGGTAATACTTATATGAAATAGAAGACATTTGGATTCAAACAACAAAAGGCAGAAACAAACCCAAATTCTCTGTCAAGATTGTATGCAATGCTAAATCGATCTTCAAATAAGTCATCGTCTTCATTATCATCAGCAAGGGGATGTGGGCCTTCAATCTTATTATTTGAACCATAACGCTGCTTGAAATCTTCTTTCACCCGTTCAAGGAACACAAAAGGCATACTCCTCCCAACTGATTCATCCGCAACAACAAGAAACACTGCAAACCAAATAAGAAGTTTAAACCACAGATTCTGTAATTAGAATCTAAAAAGCAATCTAACTGCAAGTCGTAAAAGAATCCCCACCAAATCCATTGTCAAGTAGGAAGTTAAAGGTGTGGCTATCACAAGCATATGTGTACTTGCTGCTACTAGAAGGTAACTTCTGTAAGCATTGAACAGCAATGGTACTGAAGTTTCCGGAGAACGACGTGTGTTCAGCTAAAACAACACCTCCTTTTGCAACAAAGCTATATATCAATCCTCTGTGACTCATCTCTGAATTATCACTTCAAACACGTGAAGACGCACAAGAGAAATATCACCAGAACCTAAATGCAGTGGTAACCTACAGAAATTATGTAAGTATGAAAAATTAATCAAATACACTAAACCAAAACACAGGATTAGCTTATACGCGATAAAGCATAGTTTACTTAAATCTGAACATAGTAATTGTCAATTACACCGAACTAACCCGAAGTAAAATTCAAGTCCTGAAATATCTACAAGTTTCAGTCGGTAACTAACTGCAATACCTAGATGAGTTTTTGATATGCTTAACCTACCAAAACAAGAGAACATTAAAGAAAATGTTCACTTTTTAAAAAAAATTTCATTCCTTCCACATCTTTCCATCGTTTCCTTTTAATTTTCTCGGCAACCAGACAAAGGAATACGAAAAGGGTCAAAGATTTAAATAACAAATCCAAGAACCCACAATTCCTCTTAAAAACAGAAACGGGTCAAGGTAAAATCTTGATCTACAATTTACAAATAACACAAGAAATCTGAAAGAAGGAACTTACTTGTCAGATCAAAACCTGATTTACGGAATTCAAGTCTTAGCGAATAAGTGCCCCAGAAGAGAGAGAGAGAGAGAGAGAGAGAGAGAGAGAGAGGAGTCTGAAAGATGGGATGGTATAGAGTAAAGACGTTCTGTTCTGAAGGCGACGTGGTCCAGGCCTCTTTTGCTTGCGACCCACTGTTTTTTTTTTTTTTTTGGTCAAAGTTCACACCAATTTGCTTTTTTATTTTTTATCACAAATGTCTCTCATGTTTGTGAAATTATTATTATTATTATTATTATTATTATTATTTACATGATTGGTCTTTAACGTTGCATTTAGAGCAACTCCACTCATTTGTCTTTTGTCATGGCAAGGGAGGAGCTAGGGTAGTCACTATTCACATGAATAGTGGTTTGCTATGGCAAATGGCAATTACTATTCATTTTTTTGTTTTTTTTCACAAATTTTTTTACCTCAATAATTAATTTGGATAATAATTTCGGATAAAATTTTCGGGTTTCTACGTGTCAAGACTATTCATAATCGGATAAAATTTCTGGATAAGATTTTTAGGTTCCAATTTCGGATGAATTTCAAAATTCAGAATTCAGATAAATTTTTGAGTTCAAATTTTGGATGAATTTCAAAATTCAAATAAATTTGGGTTCAAATTTCGAATGAATTTTAAAATTCAAATTTCAGATAAATTTCAAATTTCAAATTTCATATAAGATTTTCATTCAATCAAATCAAGTCACGTGGCATCTCTATCTGGCCAAAATTTTCTATAAAACCAGAGGCTCAGCTCATACTTCTCACACCACATCTTTCTATATTTTCATTTCTCAGAGTTTAGATTTCATACTCCATTCTCAAATGGAAGATTTTAGGAGATGCTTGGAGAGGCAAGAGAGAGAAACAAATGAGAGAAGTCGTAGAGCAAATAAAAGAAATATGTTATAGAGAGAAGAAGATGAACAAGTTGTCATAGCAGTGGCTTTGCTTGATGAAGAGAACCAAGGTTGCCACTGTGGTTCACAAGTCGGCCGTCGCCGAAATGTAGACAGATATAGGCATTCTCGGGGTAAGAGTCTTTTCGAAGATTATTTTATCTCAACTTCTTTGTACTCTGATGTTGATTTTCGAAGGCGATTTAGAATGCAACCTCATTTGTTCAATAAAGTCATGCATGATATTTGCAATTATGATGCATACTTTGTTCAAAAGTGTGATGCTGCTGTGGTTTTGGGACTTCTTCTGGAGCAAAAGCTTACAGCTGTTATACTAATGTTGGCGTATGGAGCATCTGATGATTAGGTGGATGAGATTGCCCTGATGGGGGAAGTCCACTACGTTGGAGGCCTTAGTAAGATTTTGTGACGCAGTTGAAACTCTGTACACTAAGGTCTACCTGCGCAGACCTACTCTCAGGGACCTCCAACGGCTTCTACAAAAAGCCGAAACTCGAGGATTTCCAGGAATGATTGGCAGCATCAACTGCATGCATTGGCAATGGAAGAATTGCCCAACTGTCTTGCAAGGTGATTACGGAAATAGAAAAGGCCAAAAAAGTATCATCCTTGAAGCCGTTGCTGGCTTCGACACATGGGTTTGGCATGCCTTCTTCGGAGTTGCCGAATCCCAAAATGACATCAACGTGCTGGGTCAATCCCCGATCTTCAACGATATTTTGAGAGGCCAAGGCCCCAATATCACCTATCAAGTCAACAATATAGTCTATCGAACGAGATATTATCTAGCTGACGGCATCTACCCGAGGTGGACCACATTTGTCAAATCCATTCCGAATCCCTAATCCCATAAGCAAAAATTATTTGGTACTTATCAAGAAGGATATAGGAAAGATGTCGAAAGGTGTTTTGGCATCCTTCAAGCTCGGTGGTTGATTATTTGAGGTGCGGCCCATATGTTTGATGAGGAGGTCCTCATAAGCATTATGATGACTTGCATCATCCTCCATAATATGATTGTGGAGGATGAGCATGATTATGATGCTGCAGAGGTCTACGAACCTGATCCCATGAACACGGCTTTGACACGAATTTATGAAAGGCCCATGGGACCAAGTGGAGAACCGTTTGAGCCGAATCCATTGGTGAGGGATGGTCGTTTCATGACCCGTATAATAGATCAATATACAGAGATGCAATCTTCATATATTCATGAAAGGCGTCAACTTGACTTGATGGAACATATATGGGTGGTGAAAGGCAATGAAGATGAATGATGGAGCATAGATGCTTTGGTTATATTTTATTAAGTTATGGTTTGGTTGTGTTGTTTTTTATTTATTATGGTTTAGTTGTGGTTTGTTATTATTATTGTGCCTTGTTTGTAGTTTTTTATATTTTTTATTATGCTTTGCTTGTGGTTTTTCCTTTTAATTATGTTTTGTTTGATGTATGGAATATGTTGAATAAAAAGGTATTTTATTGAATGCTTTGTTTATTAAATAAAGAAAGCCAATACAAGTCATTAAGAATTACTACTACTAAAATAAAATACATGAATTACAACAACTTTAATAGAAAACATGAAAAATACAAATACATAAAAGGTATACCAACTAATTTAATGGTTTTGATCATTTAACCAATCCGTGTTGCTAGACCTATCATCCTGGAAAAGTCTTCTTCTCATAACATCCCTTCGTTCTAGCTTCCAAAATTGTTTTGTTTTAGGGGACATATGGCTTGTATCCATCCCCATGATTTCCCGATCCGTCTTGTCCATCCCTTTTTTGCTCAAATACTCCCTTTCTTGTGCATATTCTACTCGCATTGCCATCTCGTTCTCTTGGTGTTTCTGTTCCATTTCAACTCTTATGGCGCTCTGCCTTGCAATTTCCTCCAAAAATTTTGATGTATTACTGCTCGAATTACCCCTTTCTTTGCCTTCGCAGCCTTTCGGCCAATAGGCCTCGGCTCCTTTTCAATTGGTGAGTCTTGACTCATAAGGGAATCGATAGGTGAATCCGATGTCATTGAATCACGGAGTGGCGTCTCGTTTAACATAACGGCAGACCCGTGGGAATAATTCTGAAGCATTTGCAATTTTTCACCACCTCCCAACATTCATGATGGTTGAAACTGTTTTTGCCTTGCCCAGTTGCACTAAACCACATTTATGCTTGAATCATCTATTAAAAAAAAGATAATGGAAATGCAAGAAATATTTAAAATATGTTGGATATGCAAGTAACAAAAAAAAAATAATGGAAATGCAATTAACCTTACAAATATATTGGAAGTGCAAGAAATATTAAGAAACAATTGGAAATGCAAGAAATATTAACAAAATATTGAAAATGCAAGAAATATTAACAAAATATTGAAAATGCAATAAACATAAAAAATATATATATTAGGACATTAAACTTAATAAAACGAAAATTACAAAATACTTACCTCGTTACTAAGATTTTCCCCGCTTCTATGGTTGTCCATCGCTTTTGCCAAGGCATCCCTCCATTTTCCCAACTCTTTATTGAGAATTTTCCACCTACTAGACAATGTCATTTCCATACGAGTCAACCCTGGAATTTTTTCACAAAATTCGGCATGAATTTTTTTCCACATATGAAAAAATTTCACCTCATTACCTGACACTGGACAATGACAAATTTGGAGCCAAGCCTCACACAAGGAAACATCTTCCATGGTGCTCCACGCCCCTCCGGTTTCGATAGAAGAAGCCATAAATATAAGAAATAAAAATACAATTTGAAAGAGAGGAAAATGTTGAGTTAAGAGTGAATAATAGTAGAAGGAGAAGAAAATGTATGAGGATTGGTGTTGAAAGTTGTAGGGGACTTTTTCTTCCGGTATATGTAAATGGGCTGGGCTGCCGTAAAGGGCAAACTGATGAAATTGTCCCCTTTGTCTGAGTTCGAAAATTAAGCCCCAAAAATACCTCGAAAGGGCAGCAGAGCCTCAAGAAGTATTTTGGTTACCTTCACCAGCCGAAACAATAGCAACTTACAGGTAATTTTTGCATGCTTACAGATAAACTTTTGAGCTTGGCATGAGAGGCATGTGGCATGGAAGCAAAACCAACATGAGTTTAGCACTGAGGGGGAATTTAGGCTTTCTTAGGGGAAAAAGGGAAGTGTTAAGGTGAGAAAGAAGAAGGTTTGTAGGAGATTTGGCTAAGAAGAGAGAAATAAGAAACGATGCTCTTCTGGTAGCTCGACAGATATTCTGTCTGCCTGAAAAGAATGAAGAAGAAGGTGAATAGTGCACGAGATTTCTAGGTTTTTGCAAGTTAGAGAGAAAGTTTGCTCCCTAATTCTGAGTTGGTTTCGTTGGGTAGAAGAGGCCCCATTTTATAGTTGCTAGAAATCATACTTTCCCAAGAAACCCTAATGGTTTCTACCCATTTTGGCCAAGCTTTTCCTTCCCTTTCTCCTCTCCTCCCTTGACTTTTCCTATCTTGGTGAAATTTCTTCTGTCTATTTGCACAAAACCAAGAATTTTGGGAGCTCAAAGCCCCCTTTCCCGCAGCTGCTCAGTGGGAGCCTCCAATCTTAGCTATTTTTCTTCTTCTTTCCTTCCTCCTTCCCTGGCTAGATCTGAAGAAGGAAAGCAAATGGATATACATGCTGGTTTGAAGAGTGCTTCTCCTCCTGGCAGCTTACGTGCTAACATCCCTTGGTCCCTTAGATGTTTTGTGCTTGGAACTTGTTCCTTCCCAGCAGCTCTGCATATGTGGCCATCTTGCTTCTTTCGTGGCTTCTATGTTTTTAGCAAAGGGCTGAGGCTTTGTGGCTTATTTTGGAGGTTTGTATGGGCCAAGGTGGTTCCCTAAGCAAGTGGGCTATTTTTGTTAAACATTGGGCTTTTTTAGTTGTGTCAATAGGCTATTTTGCTTGGGCTATTGGGCTATTTTTCTCTCTTGTGCTTACCCGCATGTTTGAGCCTAAGAAATAGGCTTGAGTCTAGAGGCTCCCAAGCAACCCGAGACTTTCCATTTCTAGGCCCATCAATGGGCCTCATGTTGATTTATTACCATCCATACCACAACCCACTCAAGCAAGCCCCGGATATTTGAGTGGCTTGGGCCCACTTAAGTTTGTAGCGTGGTTGGGTGTGAGATAACA